AGCTAGTAAAAAGGAAACACTTTGTCTTTCGGTCTGAGCAGGATGTATCTTCGAATTCTTGCGGGGTTTTACATTGTACTTGTTTTCTGTTTTTTATCCTAAATAAGAAAGAAGGCAGAGATTTCAAGAAATTTGGCCTTAGGGAAAACTGCTCAAAGCTTTTGATAGTATTATTGAAAAAGCAGACTCATTGTTTGTGCGGATGCCATTCAAGTAGGCTAAAGGTGTATTAAAGATGTTGAAATTGTTTTCCCTCTGCTGCGTTTTATCTTACTGGGGGCAGATAGACTGCTGCACCTTCAGAAAAAATGCATATATTTTGTGTCCTCTAGTGATATATTTAAAGGTTGGTTAATCTTAACAATAAAATACTTTTTCATTAAAAGTCTGTCAAAATTAGAATCAGTTTTTACTAACTTCTGTTTCTGGAGCTCACTCAGCATGTTCTGTGGGTGCCTTCTGGGACAAGTACAACTTGATGCTTTGTTTGGGGAAGGCAGCAGCCGTTTCAGTGTTCATGAATAATGTCTGAATAGCTAAGAAGTTGTTTCAGCTTGCTGAAGGCTGACCATTTAATGTTGCTCTGTGATTGCTGGTAGAGGTGACAAGGAAAGTGGCATAGGTCTGTATGCTGTTGTCTTCTCCTCCTCTTCTGCTGCTGAGGGAGGAGCAGCTGAAGATTGTCCTTCATGGAACAACAGCCAGCCTGTCTAAGTAGGTGTGGAACGATGAACTTTGACTGCTTGCAGCTTCAGATAGGAAGGTGGTGATAACAGGCTGCAACACCCAAAGTGTGGATTGTTCCTCTTGGTTCATAGGATTGAATTTTCTGAAGCATACCATGGGCACCCAATTTACTTGACCATTTGATAGTTTGAAGTACTCAGTTTGTCTCACGTGCCAGAAGGTTGTGTAGAGTCCTAAAGAAACCACTCAGCTGGCAAGAATGAGATTACTGCCAGTATGACAGGAGGATGTTTACTTTCCATGAACTAAGTACCAGTAGACTTTACACTGGCCTTCAGATAAACAGTTCTGTGCACGTAACTCTGAAGAGGTGGAGAATGGTGGTTGAAAGTGTCAGGAGATTCCTTTGAAGAAAAAAACTTTGATTCTGTAGCAAGTGGATTTTTCAGGCTTGATTCCACTTCTGAATGTTCTTAATGCCTGCCCACAGGTCCAAGTAGTTTCTTTAATCAGGAGCAGTATAAATTGTTTTACTTCTGCCTTTCATTTTAGAGGAGAAAGGTGAGTAACGTAATTAAATTTTGTCTGGCTGTTGACACAGTAGATGCTGAGTAGCTCTGTGAATTTGATATTCCTTTCTGAAGAGATATAGTTACCATGCATGGGTGCGCATTCATAGGAAATTCTGCCCTCAGGGATTTTGTACTTTAGCACCATGCATGTTACAACCAAAGGGAACTTCCTTTGTTTTCTGAAGGGATTTTTAAATATCACATTTGAATTCCTGTATGTCATAAAACCAAAAATTGTTCTGTTACAAATGGAGCTGAAATCTTCAGTTTTTATTCCAAATTAGTTGCAAGTAGGTACGTCTTAAGATATGGTTTTGTACTTTATCCAAGTTCTTGATCTCAGCTCAAGTAATCAATCAAAAAATGTACAGAGTATGTCTAAGTAGCACAGTGCAAGAGGAGAACATCAGTAGAGAAAAAGGATGCTGAAGACCTGACATTATGCTGTATGCAACTTAAGTCTTATGCTTTGAACTACTGTAATCAGATCCTACGGACTAAATAAATACCTGTTAGCTGCTGGAGGGCATTAAATGTCCTCTCGAATATATCTTTCAGATAAATCCCAAAATATTTTACTTGGTATACTCTAAGACATTTTGGTAGTGCAAACCAAAGCATAGAACATGCAGATGGGAGAAAGCATGCATTTTTATAAAAACTACTGAATCAGAATCTGTGTTCTTCAGGCTAGCGTTCTGGCATGCTGCTAGAGCTGTTAATGCTTTTGTTCCTCTGTCATCTTCTGTAACTTCTTGAGAGTAGACATGCTTAATTAAACCCTTTATTATTTGCACAGGGAAATAGGTGATCACTGGCATTTAGCAATTCAAGAAGCGATCTTGGAGAAATGCAGTGATAATGATGGAATTGTTCATATTGCTGTGGACAAAAATTCACGTGAGGTGAGCATCCTTCCAGTAACAACTTAATAATGTTGTTTCTCCTTGTCAGCTGGACTGTAACAAAGACTCTTTCTTACTGCAGGGTTGTGTATATGTCAAGTGTCTGTCTCCAGAGTATGCGGGGAAGGCTTTTAAGGCATTACATGGCTCTTGGTTTGATGGTAAGAAATCAGGGTTCGTGGCAAAATGTGGGTAGAAATAGCAGAAGATGGTTGAGGTTGGAGTCCTTTTAAGTGACCAAGCGTTTTATTACATCTTGATACTTTTGTTAGATATAAAAGTTGTGTTCTTAGTATTATCCATAATAATATCCATTATTAGTATTTATCACCTGGTAAACTAATTTCATTACAATGAACGTGTTTGGGTTTGCTCGCTGCATCCTGAGGCCAAATGTAATAATGGTAAACTAGAGGGCTTTTGTTTTTGTATTTCTTTGCCTTCCAGGAAAGCTGGTAACAGTAAAATACCTGCGGCTAGATCGATACCATCATCGTTTTCCTCAGGCTCTCACCTGCAACACTCCACTAAAGCCATCAAATAAACACATGAACTCTATGTCACATCTCCGTCTTCGGACAGGCACAACTCATTCTCAGGGAAGTTCCTGAGGAGATTTTCTACAACTGCTAGGACTGTTACTTGCAACAGGACTATTCCTGTTTGGCTGCCGTCTTCCTTTTTTAGTGCTTTTTGTATGTAATACTTTAATGATTTAAATAAAAGTTGGAACGTTCCAGAAATCTTGTTTCCAAAGGGACTTAGCGGTGAGGCAGTAATACTGAGCTGACAGGAAAAAGAAATTGCTTCAGGAAGTTATCCGGGGCTACGTTAAAGCAATGCATTTAAGTTTTGCATGTGGAATACCGAATTCATTAAACATTTTCAGATGTGGTGACTGTATTTTTGCACCAAGAGGTGTTTTTGATAATACAAAAGCATGGAGAAAAGAAGACTTCCTGTATTTCCATAGTTTCCTGTGAAATAATCTTGTGGGTATTTTGTAACAAACGACCTACAGTTCCTGATGGTGAATAAGTTTAAAAAAAAAAAAAAAAAAAAAAAAAAAGAAAAAAAAAAAAAAGAAAAAAAGAAAAAAATATATTTTTTTCATTCAATATTAGTTGTTTTTTTTTTTTTTTTTCCTTGCCGTAAAATAATAATTTTCTGCAGCTGGGGTATGGGGGAAGTTAATCTGGCGTTAGTGGTTGCATATAAGCGTGAGGGAAAACGAGCTGAATGCGGATGTAATGGGTTTTGTATATAAATGTAAATGCTGGTGGTGGCAAAACTGGTTTTGTTCTGTGAGGATGTCTGCATCGAAGCGGTGGGTAGGCTTCCTATTTTATTCAACACCTGTTGTTTTATATGGGTTTGGCTGCACCGTGACAAGAGGCCAAATACCTTAAAGTGTTAGATACAGGTTAAATATCTTTTATAGGTTTTATATTAAAATACCTTATGATTTTGTGTGAGAGGTCTGATACCAATTGTAACAAATTCAAATTTGTGAGCAATAAAGACACAATTGGCAGATACTGGAAAAGTATTTTGTGAAAAGCTGTATTTATTACTACTATTGCCAGGGCTGTGACAAAATACCATTTGGGATTAAGTGATGAAGCAGTTTCCTTTTAAAATGTTAGAAGGTGCTCGCTTCCCTGCTACGATTTTGGCTGACATGAGCTGCAAGTACGGCTGACAGTAAATCTGGTGATTGTGAGTTTGTAAACTTGGCAGAAATTTGCCTGGAAGTGCGAAATTGTTGCTGAGAAGCGTAGTTGCAAATCTGAGATTATTGGCTCCTTTAATCCCGTCGCTCCTACCGTGATGTTATCCGAGTAGCAAGGGGAAATATCCCACAGGGACGTGCTGGGACTGGAAGCGCGCCGGTCCAAAGAAACAACTGAAACTCACTTTACTTTGTAGATACGATGGATTTGCAGCATGGACTTGCACAAATAATGCACGTTTTTCGTATGGTTAAGTAAACATGATGCACACTGTTCTGCAACAGAAATCCTATTGTGCCTTACCTTCGTGCTTTTGTGGGCACCATGTTTATTATTGGAGAGTTTGTTAACCGAGAACTTTTAAATCCTCAGTTTTATGTCTCAGATGCTAATGAATGAGTATATATAATATATAATCAGCCACGCAGAATTCCGCTTACCGAGGACGAGTACATATTTTTGATGGGTAAGTGAATTGTGCCAGGACTGGTAGATTTCGACGAGTTTTACTATATACATATATGTATAATATACATGTATATGTACTATATATATGTATATAAACTAATGGCGTTGTATCGATGTGCATCAGTGACTTGTTAACCTGACCTTAGTGACCCATCTTGTGACCCGTTGCAAGAGTGAATGTAAAAATAGTTGTGGCATTTTCAAAGGTCGCCTCTTGATGCAGCTGCATCCATCTTGCTTCTGAAATATACTTCTTGTAAACACTGTACATTATTATTGTAATATGTACTATTATGCAGCTTCTTTTACCTTAAACTGTTAAGTTGACCAGTGTCCCTTCCTGCACGAGGGAGGGGGACGTGTATAATACCGAACATTTGAGAGGAATCAGATGTTTGCTGTAATTTGTCACCTTGTCCTGTACAAACTGACGCTACGCGAAGCAGACTCGAATTAAAGGTTTATTAGGGTTTTTTACACGCGTCTGACGTCGTCCGTCTGTGGGCGCCTCTCTCCCGCGAGGGCTGCGGGGACACAGCGGGGGCTCCGCGCAGGGCCCGGCGCACGCTGGAGCTCGGCGCTGCGGGGCCGGGGCGCCCGCGCCGTGCTCTTATTTGGCGTTGGCCGCCGGTGCCCAGGAATTTCCCGTCATGCCTCCCTGGGCGCCGGGCCCGTCCCCGCTATCCCGGGGGGCGGAGGGCGGAGGGGGGGTTGGAGCCGCGGCCGCCGCTCCCTCGGGCCTCCCCTCATGCGCGCTGCGCCGCCGCCGCCGCTCCTCTCCGCACTCGTCCTGGCGCTGGCGGCCAACGCAGGAGCCGCAGGTAGGAGCCGGCGAGCAGCTCCCACCGCCGCCTCGCCAGCCCCGCACCGCCGCGGGAAGGGCGGGCCGGGGGCTGCGGCCGGGGGAGGGGCGGCGGGACAGCGAGCCGGGGCCGGGCAGCACCTGCTGGGGGAGGGGCGGGGCGGGGGCGCCCTCGGGGAGCGGGGCCCGGCGGGAGGGCCGTGCCGTGCCGCGCCGCGCCGTGCCGCGCTCCGCTCCCCTCCGCTCCGCCGCCCTCTGCGCCGTGCCGCTCTGGGTGCCGGCTGTCCGTCCGCAGAGCAAGGCGGCGGAGCGGTGGCGGGGCGAGGGCACGGCCTGCTGGCTGCGCTGCGGCCGTCCGCCGCGTACGTGAAGCTTTACCGGCCCCGAGGGGAGCTCGGGCTTCGCGTGCGCTCTCGGAACTCGGCGGCTGTACCCTGCCTGCGTGCGGGTTGTGTAGCGCTGCTGACCAACGCGGGACGTGCGGGACTCGGGTGTAGCTCGGTCCCTCCTGTCTCCGTTTAGCAGCATAACGACACGGAGCGCCGCAGCCGCTCACACCTGGGCGCAGCGCCGCGTTTGGAGCCCAGAGGCGGTTTGTCCGTCCGGTCGGTGCTCTTCCCCCCGCCGAACAGACGCGGGTGCTCGCAGCGCTCTTAGCGGAGAATTCCGGGCCATTTGCTGCGCTGCTGCGTGCTTTTGCAGTTTGTCACGGCTCCCCGCTGCCAAATTTGGTCGGTAGCGGTGCCTTCTGCGCCTCTGTGACAGCGGTTCCCGTGCGCCCGTCATCCTCGTCTGCCGTCCGCTCAGAGCTTCTCAGAGGATCGCGGCGTCGCTGGAGGCGCGGCTTCGTTTAAAACAGAGTTTCTTTATTGTCGTATAGAGATTGTGTCGGGAATTAAGTGAGGTGAACGTCTTAACTGGAGGTACTGAATAATTCTGTAAGTCTCAGCTGAAGGAAGGCTTGGTTTGGATGGAGCTGTGCAGTGATTTCCCCAAAACCGCTGAGCCTGGTGGAGTTGGGCCACACGTAGCTCAGCTGTGGTTGGTTGGGTGTTTTCCTGTCTGACGTTTCTTGGATCTGTATCGTACACATCTGAGAAGAGCTTTTAGGAGGAAAAAAGAACTCCCATTTTTCCTCCAGAAGTGCTGTCCTTAAAAATAGTGCCTTTGTGTATGGGGTAGCGTTGCTATATTTGGTGACAAAGCCATATAAAGCAGTTGATCCTTGACACAAATAAAATCTTTTGGCGGAATGGCCTTGTTGGTTTTTCCAAGCAGGGCTGCTCTGCCCTCCTGCTGGCGTTGAGTTAATGCACTTTTTCCGCCTGCATGTGCCCTATGGGTTCCTGACGGCTTTGTGGGAAGGGAAACTTGCACATGAGGAAAACACTTGGTGTTTTGCCCTGATATTCATTAAGGCATGGGAGGATTATGTTTGCCTGCTTGCATTCAGGCAGCTTTGTAAGATGATACCTGTTTGTGGCACTGAAAGCCTAGCCTGTTTTGTGCATGAGCAACGCTAGAAAATCAAATTTCCCTTTTAGGTATATTGTTAAGGTTCCTCTGTTATGCTGTTGGCTGTATTGTATGGGAGCGGGGAGCAGGAGGGAGAAAGGGGAGAAGAGATCTCGCTGTTAAGGATTTAATCTTCTCAGCCGGAGGTTAAGAAGTCTGCTGTCTGCATCCACTGGCATGGCTACAAGTGCGGGACAGCCATCCAATTGTCAGACAGCTCCTCTGGGTTGCGTCATTCAAGCGTCCTCATTACAGATCAACATTTAAGCAATGTGCAACTCCAGTCATAGGTGGGGAATAGGATCTTTTATTTTCCTTTTTTTGGAGCAGGCTCCAAGGCTGGAGGGAAATTGAGTGTCTCTTGCTCTGGAGTATTTGCGTCCATACATGGATTTATTTAGAGGCAACTTTCTGTACGTGAACTAGAGAGCTTTGAAACATAAAAACCAGAAAAACCTGCCAGCCTTTAGGGTGTTCAATCTGTAGTGTCTCACAGAGCAAGAAGGGGCTGCAGGTGAACAATCCCTTCCCTCACTCTTATCGCTTCTGCAGGGCTGCATTATGATCTTCCAGATGCCTAGCCCAGACTGGGAGGATGCTTGGTTCTCAGCAAACTACTGGATGTAGGAGCTTAAAAAACTGAACGTTCAAGTCCTCCTCTGTGGAAATCTGTGGACATATAAGAAACTAGCAGTGTCCTAAACTAACTTTCAATCTTCCATTTAAGAAAGGGAAGGGAGCATGTGTTACAGCATCAGCTTCTGCCAGAGGGTGCACAGTGGCATTCTGGGTTTTAGAGGGGACTTCTGTGTCCTTCACTTGCGAGGATGCGATCCTTAGGTGTTGTCTGAAAACAGGCTGCGAGAATTCTTTGGGAACTCCATTCACGATGAGGCAATTGGAAATTATAATTTCTTTCCTTTGCTCCAGCCTTCTGGTTCTCATGTAACAGCTCAGTTCCAGTGGCATTATCTGACAGCCACACAATCCAGCACTGTTCCTGGGCATAAAGAGGCTTTTCTTGGTGAGGGCTTTAGCACCCAAGGAGCTCAAACAATGCTAGCCCGAACCAGCAAGGGCAGTGCTTAGACTTACATGGTGCTAACACACTTCTGCTGTTTCTACAGACTTACATTTTGGCATAGCATATTCTCTAAGATGATTAATGGCACAAGTACTTCTTTATTTATAGCGAGCATTGGGAATGATGTTTCCAGTAAGTTTTGCATTGAAACATGATTCAGCTTTTGAGTGTTACATAAAGTCTGAAGAAAGGACTTCTGCTGAGCTCCCTGGTTTGCGCGCTCTGTTCAGTGGCATCTGAACATGGGGATTAATGATACATTTGAAACACAGCAGCGTAGCGAAGCGTACATGGTGTGCTCATGTATTGTGTTGTTGGAAAGTGCTGTCATGTCCAACAACTCTTAAGAGTGACACCATGTGTGGCGTTTGGAATTATGTCCCCAGGGAGCTTTGTAACTCCATGTTCCTCCAAACAGGGACAACGCCTTCGCCTTCCACCTGATGGAAAACAAAGCCCCGCTGCCAGGAAACAACAATAGCTCTGAGGAAGGGACTGCCAAATGCCATCAGTTTCACTTGGGCTGCACAATGTGAGTAGGAAAAAGAAATCAACCCAGGGCATCTCAACAGCTTCCTGAGGAAGCGATCCATGCCCGTCAATGCCAAAAGAAAGCAGTCCAGAACATGCCCTGCCCAGATAAGCATTGCATTGTTCTTGCCAAGTCCTGTTCCCCAGCATCTTGATCTTGACTGTGCTGTGCCTCCAAATGCAGGCAGGGAAGGTGTGGGTGATTTGCAGCACTGCTCTGCTGAAGGGCTCTGTGCAGCTGGTTGCCTGGGGTCGAATTCACATGGGTGTTGCTCTCAGTCCGCGTGATGGCATTTGACAGCACAGTGAGCCTGGCTTTAGTATTCCTGTGTCTGCTTCCAGAGCACGAAGCCTATATAGAGCAAGCATCGATCTGATGTGGAGTTGCTGGACCTGCTGAGTCCAGCCATACAGTGGAGGTGATCCTGAGAGTAGGGCTGACAGAGCAGCTGGTGAGATTCGGCTCCTGCGGCTGTGGGGCTGTGGGGTGGGTGAGCTGGAGGCAAGGAGTGAGCGGGCACACTGCTGTGGGCTTGGGGAGGGCAGAAGGGTCAAGGGGAGCCAGGCAGCTCTGTGACATTAGGGCCTGAAATGTGCAGCAGAAACTTCCCAGATAAAGGGATTTGGGGTTTTTTGTAGTTTAACCATCTCTGCTTTCTAAAGGCTGCAGGAAAAGAAAGTCAGCACTGTTGGGCAGAGAGCCTTAGTCTTTGACTGCTTGCTGTGGGAACTGTGCTTTTGGACTGTATCCTTAATTCCTCCTATTTTTTACAGGATTAGAATCAGTGGAAGGATACTCCATGCTGATAGAGTATCTTATTAAAACCTATTTCCATAAGAGAAATGTAGGGGACCTGCTTTGCCGTGGCTCCTGCAGGCAATTAGTGGCTGGCACCAAGGGAAGCACTGAGGACTCTTGGTTTCCAGTTTTGCACAGAGCCTGGCACTCTATCTGCAAAAGCTCGAGGCAGCTTTGCTGCTTGCCTCTGGACTTCAGAGAGGTGCCAAGATGCACCGAGCTGCTGGAGCAGTGGTGGAACCATGCTGGGTAGGGTTACTGCAGATACTGTGCGAGAGCCTCAGACTGCCCTTGCAGAGTTGTCTCAGAGAGGGAGGCTTGTTGTTGCTGCATATGGATTAGCATAATACAGTTTTATCTATAGTATGATAATTAATAACTGTGGCAGCAGTACACTCAGTGTAATAGCTTCTTAGTGTATTGCTGTTTAAGAAGAGAAGAGACACAGGTTTTCAGAGCGTTGTACTACCACAGCAGCTCTTGTAGATAAAGTTCTTCCCAGGTCGTTGCAGAAGTTAGATTTTCTGAATCTCTTTCATTCTCTCTTCTGAACTCTCCCCAGTTTCTTCTGTCTTATGCCCCAAGCCAGCATGAGATTCCAGCTAGTACCTCATTGTTGCTGAGCAGAGCTCAGCAGCTCTGCTCCCTCCCCAGCTCCTGCTATTAGGAATTACGCTTCTCTTTTTGATAAACTCCAAATTTCACTTGCCTTTTTTTTGCAGCAGTTATCACAGTATTGGCTCAGCTTATGGGCATTGTAACCTTGACATCCTTTTCTGCAGTACCCCTGCTTGTCTTGTAGTTTCCATTTCGATTTGTGCATTTGAGTGCTTTTGTGGTTATTATTTTTTTTTTTTTTAAAAAAAGACCTGTACTTGGCTCTGTTCTTGGCTGTACTCTGTACATCTCTCTGTACTTGGCTGTACTGAATTCCATTTACTGATTTTGGACCCTTTTCCACTTCCTGAGGATTATGTTGATTTCTGCTGGGCTCTTTGCAGTGCTGTATGCTCCTTCCAGGTTGGTGTCTGCAGTTCTCATAGGAGTGCTTGCAGGTCCCGGCAGCAGGAGAAGTGCTGATCAGAGCTGG